TATAACAGCCACTGGCTTTCGGCTGCCGACCTCGAAACATAGGACACAAGAGGATGGGAAAGAAGGACAATTCAAATTTGGCCTTGGTATTTATTTTGCACATGGTAAAAAGGCAACGGAATACGGACATAATGTGTTGATATTAACAGACTGTGTGTTAGGTCGAGTACGAGAAATGAAAGCGTCGGACACTGATCTTACTGCACAAAAAATGCATGAATCTAGTTATGACACTGTGTATTTTAAAAATGATGAGAGCGGCTTAGTTAATCAGGAATGGACTGTGTACCGTAGTGAGCAATGTCTGCCGCTTTGTATCATTGATTATGATATTATCGATGAAAGTGACACAAATGAAAAGAGAATTATTGATAGCATTCTACAAATGGACGTTTGTGAGCCAGATCATGCGCTTTTAAAACAAGCCGTTCGTGGAACAGACAATCAATGTAAAGCCGCACTACAATACATCGGTGATGTTGCCCGTATTTTACAACCGTTCGCAATTATCATGCTACGACAGTTATTGACCAGTATTGGGCACACGAAAGTTCATGAATTGTTAAAACATCAAAATGATACTATTCGTATTTTATTTTTACGAGCGCTTTGGGTTACGGGTCGTCATGATGAGTCATCTCAAAAATTTTTTCACAGCGTAATAAATATTAATATATTAATTGAATCGTTGAATTCGACATACGTTGATATTGCATGGCGTGCGTGTGGTGTTATTGCGAATTTGGCATCATGTGTCGTTGACATTCGTCGACTTTTAACGTTCGATTCAGTCATCAATCAATTATTAGGACTTTTGAAGCGTGGCATGCAAAATACAGACAAATTGTGTATCATAACCGTCCTTAATCTATTCGCTAATATAACCTGCTCAGAATACAAAAGTATGAAAGAAAAACAACAGTTATTGATTTCTATTGATCCACTGACCGATCACCACGATGAAATGATTCAAGAAGCAGCCAACCGGTTCTTCTGTAATATTATTGGCAAGGGTACTGTTACTCCTGACTGGACAAAGGCCGGGTACAAAGACACGATGATGGCACCTGACCTTGAGTAAATGTAGTTAGTACACAGCTTTTCTCTTATGTTCACTGCTTTATGGTTTCAAACAGTAAATGTGTAACTTTATTTGTAAACTGCAATGTTTTCCGATATTTTATTTGAGAAATGAATTCATTTAAACTACTTAACTTTCAGATGTATACATTCTAACATTAGATGAATGAGGTTGAGGATCATCTCTGATTTGAGAGAAGCTGCAATTCTATTCCACGGCTTAGATCAACTTAGCTATTATCTTTTAGATTACAAAATGCAGTTATACGTAAAAACATTGACCGACAGATCAATATCTATCGAAGTAAGAATTACATCTGCTCTCCAGTCCAGAAACAATAACTTTCTTTAAGTTCTAGGCTACACCAGACGACACTGTTCTCAGTGTAAAACAAAAAATTCATGACCGTGAAGGTGTACCGCTTGCTCAGCAGCGTTTGATATATGCTGGTAAAACATTACAAGATGATCGTAAATTGTCTGATTATAATGCAGAACATGGTTCTACATTGATGCTTCTGGTACGATTGCTAGGTGGCAGAGTCTTGGTTAACCCTTGTTCCGCAGAAACCAGTTAAACTGAGACAGAAGAAAAGTACATTATATCGATCATCTCCGGTACTAATAATTGACTTTTTAAACTTTCAATGAATGGCATATAATATTCTCGTTGCCAGTATGGCAACGGGAATGTCCTTTACTTTACTTCTATTCAGTTTCATTTTAAGCCAGAATGTAAATAATTCAAAACAAAAGTACAAAAGATAACCATGTGGATTTTGTCCGCTAGATTTGTATGAAACAACAGATCAGATACGATGTTGTAAACAAGAATGTGGTAGTTCATATAAACCAAGTGCTTAAAATAATTTCAATACGACTGCTGGAATCAAACATTCTGAACCTTCATGTTTTCTTAACTCTTTGGTAAAAACGCTGTTTGGATAAACATTCACTTGCTCAGTTTTAAACATAGAAGATACTTACCTTATCACCCAATGTAATATCCTTCGGTTTGCAAACTTTTATAGCGTTATCCAATCATTTCTGTCCGGAATGTTTGGTACTAATATTGGAAGAGAATATCGATACATCATTTCGTTGTTTTAAATGCACAACTCATGATTACATTGGTTCGTAGGTACTATGATTTAATCATATGAGAAAATTTATATAAGTATTTCATCTCTGCAATGGAGATCAGCTAATATTGTCTTAACCAATCGTTGGTTAAGGATATAATTTTTCCCCTATTTGCAGCGATTTTTTATTGGCAGCAAAGCTCAATAAATGTTGAAAAAACCAACAGAACATACTTTCGGATAAAATATAGTATTTTCCGATATTCTGCAGTAAGCTGGATGGATTCTGACTGCGTTATGAATTTTTTAACTTTTGATGAGAATAATCAAAAATGGATTATTACATCTAGTAGAGGTTTTCACTCGGCTCTTGCATTTTCTTCGGAAGATTAACATTGCCACGAGATTTAGTATGGTTGATAACCCATGTTTTCATTCATTTCTAACAGTCCCAAACCTAACGGCAGAGAAACACTAAGGCTTCAGGAAAACCGTCTATAGCTCCTGAACCATGGATTTCTAAGATATCGCTTGGATTCAGTTTTGTGGGAGCCACTGGCCTTGCTTTTTGAAACAGACAGCATTTGTAGATAAAATCACAGAATAGAAATGACTCATTCAACTTAAGCCCCTCCGCCCTGAGCCGGCCTGATCACACTTTTAGGAGATGCTGATTTTGTGAAAGTTTGATAATGAAATTTTTTGTTTGGTTCCCTCGTTGGCCTTACGTTGACGAAAATACTTGTGACTAGAGGTGAATAGAACCCGATTTTTGATATTTTATTTTTCAAATTAATGGTCAACGTCAAGTCAAAAATTCGACGAGTCGACATTAACTTGCGCAAAGATATATTTCTAACCACAAACCTAGGCAAAGTATAAAAAATCAGGCTCTATTAGCCTCTAGCCACATGTGTCAGCTTCAATTTAAGACCTTCTCGAGCTCTCTCCGGTGTTCCGGTATGGAGAAATCTTGCAGTTACGAAATTATGTTAAGGTTCCAGGTCCAAGAAAACGGCACCGTTAACGACCAGTTAATTGGCTGTTAACGGTAAGTTAACGTGCCGTCAACGGACCATTTCCAGAACGTAACACTCGAAACGTTTTAGGGTTTTAAATGGCTCGTTTTTCACCGTTTACGGTTTTATGGACCGCCTTTGTCGTTTCGAGAACATTAACAGGCCGTTTTTTTGATGTCGGCCGGCTGTTATATTAAAAAAAATTAAAAACTTTTTCTCTAACTTATCTGTCGAATTTGCCCTTTCTCACTAATCGACCTAATCTAGACACTACACTATATACATCATCAGACAGCACAATAATTTTTTTTGCTTGAAAATATCGGGATTCGAACATCAGAACTTGTATGGCAGTGTGTCACTGTAGCTATACGGCTATGTCGGATCGAAAACTAACATTATCAAAGTGCTTTTCACCCTTGCAAGCTTACGTACTACTATATATCCAATTTATTAGGTTGAGGAAAAAGTTCGTGCGCCGTGTTAAAATAATGATTTTTTATATATTTTTTTTTGTGTTTTTGATCTGGTTTTGTGGCTATTATGAAAATTTATTGATTTTTGAAACGCTTGAACCA